TAAACTTTTCAATATGCTAAACCGTGACTGAGCTCCTTTAAGGAGGCCGCAGATATTCACTAAAACCACAACAGCCACTCCATACCAGATGTTCTCTGTTACTCCTAAGGCAGGCTCCCATTAACATGCCAATCCACTCATACTTGCCGAACTGCTTGCAAGAAGGATTAGGGACGTACGCATCTCTGTTTACATTTGAAGAGTCGTGTAACTGAAACAAAAGGCATGTTCGACGGTGAGTTACTTGAGGGATTCAAGTTGAAATCAGAGTGGTGACTCCGTTCCTCAGTACCACACATTAATTTTGAGAAAAAGTCTGGCGCCAAAAACCCTCAAAGGTCAGAATAATTTCCAGATACTGATAATAAATAGGGCTACCCTCGTGACAATTAAGTTCAATTTATTTGCATCGTCCACACACACATACTGCACAACTATGCCATGACATGGGTCTTGAGTGTCAACTTTGTTTTCAGAGAAAAAACTGAAGTACTTCCATGTGACATTTTTTTTAAACTGTAAAAGGTAGTTCTACCTTTTCAGTCTGTGGATGAAACCCTAGTACATGAACGATCAAATAAAAGCTATTGAGTAGTTTGTTTGTTATGGTGTACAACATGGTTTTTAAAACCAGAAACTAATGTGGGTTTCTGCTTACACATCTGTTAATGACACCCTAGTGTGTGAACATTCAATTAAATAAAAGCTATTGGGAAGTACTTTCATGTGGCACTATTCATAATGCCGTACAATGCGGTTCTAACTTTTGAGTCTATAGACTAAAACCTAGTTTGTTATCATTCAAATGAAATCTATTGAGCAGTACTATCTATTATGTCGTATAAATTGCTTCTAACTTTTGAGTCAATAGAAATTTGAAACTGACGAGAGAATCAATAGAGATTTGACACTGACGAAAGCCTAGTTTTGGACCACTCAAATAAAAGCTATTGAGCAGCTTTTTCATTAACTGTTTTACATTACAATGTTCTGACAAAAGAATTTCAAATCATTATTTTTAACCTTGAGTGCACTGGACCTGAGAAATACCTGATTGGGACTGCGAATAAAGAAAGGAACCGGTATGGGTGCTTCAACCGAACTTGGACAAAGCTCCTCAGCCATGTCTGCGAGNACAAGTGCCAGTTTCAACACTGAAATAAAGACTGCTCTATTATGAAATTTATCAAGTTTTGTATTACCTCCAAGTCTTTAAACGACCCAGCTGAATAATTCCAAGAAGGAAGAAGATAATGTAACACACTGTCCAGAAGCTCAGTGAACCTGAAAGCAAATGCATGAAGGCTTTGTGTTTGTAATTGTAATCAAAAAGACAAATATGCGACCTGTAACGCGAAAACGTACACTAACGGCTAGCGAAAGGCTAACAAACGGCAAACGAACGGACTAACGAGCGGCTAAAAAAACGGTTAACAAACGGCTAACAGATGGAAACGGCTCACAAACGGATGGAAACGCCTAAAAAACAGATTCCAAACGGCTAACAAACGACTAACAAATGGCTAACAAACAGCTAACAAATGGCATACAAACGGCTAACAAACGACTAACAAACGACTAACAACGACTAACAAACGACTAACAAACGCCTACCAAACGGCTTATTAACGGCTAACAAACGGCTAACAAACGGCTTATAAAAGGCTTACAAACGGCTTACAAACGGCTTACAAACGGCTTACAAGCGGCTAACAAACGGCTCACAAGCGGCTAACAAACGGCTTATAAACGGCTAACAAACAGCTTATAAACGACTAACAAACGCCTACCAAACGGCTTATTAACGGCTAACAAACGGCTAACAAACGGCTTATAAAANAACAAACGACTAACAAACGACTAACAACGACTAACAAACGACTAACAAACGCCTACCAAACGGCTTATTAACGGCTAACAAACGGCTAACAAACGGCTTATAAAAGGCTTACAAACGGCTAACAAACAGCTTACAAACGGCTTACAAACGGCTAACAAGCGTCTAACAAACGTTTGATAAACGGATGGAAACAGCTACCAAACGGCTCATAAACGGCTAACAAACGGCTTACAAACGGCTTACAAACGGCTTACAAACGGCTTACAAACGGCTTACAAACGGCTTACAAACGGCTTACAAACGGCTTACAAACGGCTTACAAACGGCTTACAAACAGCTAACAAGCGCCTTACAAGCGGCTAACAAACGACTTACAAACGGCTTACAAACGGCTAACAAACGTCTCACAAACGTCTAATAAACGGATGGAAACGGCTACCAAACGACTTATAAACGGCTAACAAACGGCTTATAAACGGCTTATAAACGGCTAACAAACGGCTAACAAACGGCTAACAAACGGCTAACAAACGGCTAATAAAAGGGTAACAAACGGCTTATAAACGGATGAAAACAGCTAACAAACGTCTTATAAACGGCTAACAAACGGCTTATATACGGACGAAAACGGCTAACTAACGACTTATAAACGGCTAACAAACGGCTTGTAAACGGCTAACAAACGGCTAATAAAAGGGTAACAAACCGCTAACAAACGGATGGAAATGGATAAGAAACGGTTTATAAACGGCTAACAAACGACTTATAAAAGGCTAAAAAACGGCTTATAAACGGCTAACAAACGACTTATAAACGACTAACATGCGGCTTATAAACTTCTGACAGACAACTTCTAAAGGGCTAACGTGCGGCTTATAAACGTCTAACAAACGACCTATAAACGGCTAACATGCGGCTTATAAACGGCTAACAAACGGCTTACAAACGGTTAACAAACGGCTTATAAACGGATAACAAACGGCTTATATACGGACGAAAACGGCTAACAAACGGCTAACAAACGGCTAACAAACGACTAAGAACTGACTGATGGGAAACGGCCGTTAAAGCCGTTTAAAACTGTTTCAAATACTGTTCGAATGGCCGAGGAAAAAATTTCGAACGGATGATGCCAGCATTTCGAACGGCTTAAGAAAAATTTTGAACGTCTAACGAAAGGTATTTAGTCTGCTGGCAGCCGGTGTTTTCTCTTAGGGTCACTTAGACGAATGTTCTAGTCATCGTGAACGTAAAAGGGCAGTATGGCGGTGGCCGAGTGGGGAAGAAGGCGAGACATGCCGCGCCCATGTCTTGTGCCATTCTCCTTTACGCTAAAGCGTCATTCCTCATAACCCCTGCTGAATTTCGAGAGAAAAACAGAGTGCCAGCAGTCTAAAAGGTATTGAACGGATGTGCGTCTGATGGAACTTTGCGATCCATACATTGAATCGCGTGAACTGTTGTTTACATGTTCTACTAAGTATTTTTATCCCTGGAAATATAAATCAAACAAAAACATGCATCGACATCGAGATACACCGGCCGGTTGGCATCTTGGGCACCACAAGACATCTGAAGACAACCCTACACTTTTGTAACTTTAAGGGTGAGCTGATGAACAAAATGCACGTTCACCCACAACATTAAGGACCTATGAAGCATACGGAGCCATAAAAAGGTGTTACCGACGGGTTATGAATTACGGTCCTTATTGACAGCTCTGAGCCCTGGACATCGTGTCCCTTAGCGTTGGTACTGGTCAAGACAAACAGTACATGTACGCCTCTCCCAGGTGTTACTGAAAATGTGTAACGTGAATACTGGTAGTCCGTGGGCCGCCTAAGTACCTGCATGTACAATAGCAAAAGCCGACTTCTTTCAAACTAGTTTTACAATGACTGTTTTCTCTTACCTGAGCAAAGCTTGTGCTCTTCTGTACAGTAAGGCAGGATCTACGGCATCTAATTTTGGGAACCTGCGATAGTATTGAAATCAAGTGCTCAGTATAACTCACTTCTGTATGATTTTTTCCTCTTTCCTCCCATTCTTCTATAAACTCAAAAACAGGTCCATACAATGTACTTTTCGGAAATGGCCATGTGATGTTCTAAAAATTAGCGTCAACAATAGGCCCATTGTGTTATTTTACCTTAAGCAATCTCAGAAAGACATTATATAGCATGTTGATCTGGCATTCTGAGGTTTGTATCTCACTGCCTCATTTACATTGGATTATACCATGTAATTACCCTTTCATACTAGAGACCAAAACGTACATTCTCCTCACTACACTGATTCTCGTAATATCTTTCAATTTTAGAAATGAGAATTTGACCATACTGTACATAACAACTGTTGAGGTTGGTCAGTTTCAGTTCAGTTCAGTCAAAACACACATATACCTGATGAGTTCTTTTGAAGAAAACAAATCTTGGTTAAGTCCTGGCTCTTTTTCGCTCTCTGATATTAACTTGATACCATGGATGCGAGTGTCTATGCCTTCATCTGTCAATAATGAAATTTTATTTATCACTTGGTAAGTAGCAGATACGAGGTTGAAAGACAGTGGCTTAAATTTAAGGTACGAACATACATGTAGTTGTTCGTATTGCGTGATCGTCCGAGTGAGGGTAGTTAAAGTTCTGAATAGAAGTGTTGTTGGTGACTGACGTTTCGACAACCTGAGCGGAAGTCATCTTCAGAGTCAAGTGAATGGTGTTTGTCAGTCGATGATGTTGTAAGTCTGGTCTGTTGAACGTGATTGGTCAGTTTAGCCATGATGGTATTGGCTGAAAGGCTCGTGTAAAGTTTGTCATGTCAGTCGTTGGTCGGTTTCAATCCGTCTATTGTTAGTCAAATTGGTCGGTTTGAGGTCTGTACCCTCACCCGGACGATCACACAACACGAACTACTGATACTCCTGGGTTCAAACCATTTACTATGATACATGCAGTTATTGTAATTTCAAGGACTCGTCTGTGTGAGTGAATTGCATTTTGGCCAATTTCAAATTTTGAGTTACCACTCACCCTTTTAATTTGCTGTACATGTAAAATTGCCGTTGCAAACTAGTAAGTCATAACAGCCAGTTAGTGCATATTAAATTACAGCCCTGATGATACTAACTACTTATAGACTGGGACTGAGGTCTTTACGGGAAAATCTCAAACCAAGATCTTGCCGTATTGACCAAGGGATAGCGAGGTTAATACGGCAAGGCCGAGGTTTGCGATTTTCCCGTAAAGATTGAACGTTCGAACTTAATAAGTTCTTAATTATATGGCTTTTTGCTTCGTCTTTGCAGGCTCATAATCGGCCCATGGGTATTAAGGGAGAAAAATGCCCTACGGTTTGCCAAACAGAGCATGCGTTACAAACACAAGCCATAATAATAAATCACATTATTTATTAAACTTCCCATCATCACTATATTACTCAAGGGTAAGCAGATGCTATGATATCAGTATACATATGAACCAGCAGACACAATGATGAATGCTACTTTAGAAATACGGCGGGAACAAAAGGGACTTGATTTAATTTATTCAGTTTAATTCAAAATAAATTATCAATGATGCTTTAAATAATGTACCTTTGCACTCTTTGATTCTAATTTGAATGATGCTGTAATATTGCGTCAAGCTCTTTGCAATACACACATCTCCTGTATGACTCCTACCAGGGAGAGCAAAAATGGAAGCCTGAGTTTCAAAAGATGACTGACATGCACATGTATCTGGGTACAAAAAATAACTATTACAGTACATGCGTAAATATCTTA